CTGAGGAACCACAGGAGCTCTGCGGGCATTGCAGGAATTCTCCCGGGTTGGAGATGGCAGTGAGAGCCATTATTTACAAACCTCTCCACCTCCATTGGGTGGGTGGGAGCTCTATCCAAGCTCTGACCTATCTGCTGGATCTCTGCAGCACTCATTCCCAGACACATCGCCCAAGTCCATATCAGCCCAAAGATAGCCAGCAGGATCAACAAAACATTACTACACTCAGCTGGCCACCCCCGCCCCCCGCCCCTGACCTGAAACTGCTGCAGCTTTGTAGGCCAGTGACCCAAATGCCTTAGGCTTGTCTTTGCCAACCCAAAGTTAAATTTTTCCTTCAGAGTTTAAAACTTTGTTAGAAAGGAAGGGAAGGAAGGAAGGGATGGAGGGAAGAGGAAGGAAAAGGAAAGGGAAAGGGAAAGAAAAAGGGAAAGGAAAGGAAAGGAAAGGAATGGAAAAGAAAAAGGGGGAAGTAGAAGAGGGTAAAGGGAAGATAAATAATGATGGAAGGAGACCTGACTTGGATTGGTAAACATGCAATACAATATACAGATGCTGTATTGTAGAATTGTATACCTGAAGCCCATTTAATGTTATTAACCAATGTCACCCCAATAAATTCAATAATAAATAAATAAAAACAAAATTTTCTACAACGTGCAAAAAATAAAATTGAAGGAAGAAAAGGAATAAAAGCCCTGGCTGGTGTGACTCAGTGGATTAACCACTGGCCTGCAAACCGAAAGTTTGCCAGTCTGACTCCCAGTCAGAGCACATGTGGGGTTGCAGGACAGGTCCATGTTTGGGGGCATGTGAGAAGCAACCAATTGATGTTTCTCTCCCTCCCTTTCCTTCTCTCTGAAAATAAATAAATAAAATATTTAAGAAGAAGAAGAAGAAAAGACAAATCCGTTTAGCTGACAAAGAAATTATCTCATAGATTAAAACTGAGCTGCTTACAATTACACAAATTTAAACTTGAGCATCTACTTGCTGCCATCTACTACATTAAAACTCTTCATTTAAAATCCAGTATTCTTCCACCCCACTGGCCGTCCATAATCCAGGCTTAGTCTGAGGAGGGGGAGCTATTCCATCTTAATTATTTCCAATTTCAAGACCCAAAAGTGAAGATAAGACAGTGGTTAACTTCAGTGAAACAGGCCTCACCGGAGAAAGGCCTGCAACATGATTAACCTACGTGGGATGACATCAGAGGGCCCTAGTTCTGGAGAATGATCTCCTAAGGCTGGAAACCCAAGTTGATGTTTGTAGTCTTCATCTTACACTGAAGCAATTTGGTAGAAGACTTATTGACTCCTCCCAGAAATTTGGAGGTGTGTCGGCCATATTGCAGGTAAGTGATTTAAGTACTGGAGGAAAATGTGGGAGTTCCTGTGGTTTGTACAGACATTCATTTTTCCAACAACCAGGTTTTAAAAAGTGGTTTTTAAAACTTTCCTTAATGGGGTCCACTGGAGGGACGAAGAACATATACCTCCTTCCACCGTACGGGAGTTTATGCTTTTGCCCTTGGGGCTTTTTGACGGTACCTGAGCTTGGCCTACCAAGCTCAGTTTTGGGTTTTACAGCCTCTGCTGGGCTTGCAACCACATACCGAAGGAGGCAGGAAGGGCTGTGTCTTCCTTTTTGAGCCTCCTACTCCCACATGTGCATACTTCCACCTCTGGCAAGAATGGGTGTTCCCACGCTCTGTTGTTAGGTGCTTGGGGACCTGAAGCCATGAGCCAGCAGGAGAAAACTTACTTTAAGTCACCTCTTGTATGGCATTTCCAAATTTCACAAGTTGGGGGCCACAGTGGTTTAACATGACTTCCTGAGGAATACCCCCAGAAAGTCAGTTTAGCCCAGGGATAGGCTAGATATAGGGCACGCGGGGGTGGGGGGAAGGCCCGGAGATTTTTTTTAAGAGGTCGGTAAGGGCAGTGGAGAGGAAAGAGAAACAGACGGGAGAGTGAGGTAGTAGTCAAGGGCCCCAGCCTGGAACAAGAGCCACGTGAACAGAGTAAAGCCCCTAACTTTTAGATGAACACGAGTGAGGAGATTGTGGCCACTAAACCCTAAATCCAATAATGACAAGGCAAGTTTGTGAGAGGACCCTCCTGTGAAGTTTTGTAATCAAGTTTTCATTCTAGGAAATTTGAACTTTCGCTTTCTCCCTTCAGGAGACCCCAGGCGTTATCTCAGCGACTGGGAACAGGAATTTTCCAGCACTCAACACAAGGTGGCGCCAGACACCCGTGGACGTAATGAGATCCTTCCTTCCAGGTGGGCTCCGGAAGCTGGCAAGTGTTCGCTGAAGGAAGTGAGTCAGGCCGGACTGAAAGGAAACGAGAGATCTGTACCCACAGAAAGTTAGCCTAAGCAAAAATAAGGTACACAAAAAATAAGAAGAAAAATATTTTAAGAAATGGGGTGAAGTAATGCAGAGGTTAGGCAGATAGTCTACAATCCCTCTGTAGAAAGATCTTAGAATTTAGCTGCGAAATCCCTGGCAGGACGGGAGACAAGCAGGTGCAGAAAGATTTCCAGTGGAGCAGTTGGTGAGGAAGCTGATGCTGGCGTTCAGGTGGCCAGGGTTCGTGGCCTGAGCCAAGAAATGGTGGTGGTGGAGAAAAGTACTGATTTGGTGTATTTACATTTACTAGCATTCTTCATTGTTACAGTGAGTCAATAAGCCCAACATGATTGAATAACAATACTAAGTGGAAATGCATTCTATTCATCTTTTTTGAGAATTCTTTGGATTAGCATTTGCTCTTTTTGTGCATCCTTGTGGACTCATGACTTTTCAAATTTATTGTGTCAATTGAAAGTCAACCAAGATTCTCCTTTTAGATACTCCTTTTGGATCCTCGTTTTGAGGGGGTTGTTCGTTGGACCCTGGCAGTTGTTCCCTGAAAGCAGGACTAAGAAAGCTCAGCTTGATGCTTGGGTCGGGCGTCCTCTACTGGGTTGAACAATAATAGCGAGGAGTGCAGGACATGGTCAGTCTTCATTGCCGTCCTGTTGTAGTTATTAATTGTGCCCCTTTTCATGGTTTAAGTGTCCCAGAGGGGAGGGGAGAAGGACTGGAGTGTCAGAACGTAGTGCTCCAGGAGAGAGGAGAACGTAACCAGTTACAGAGGAGACACCCCTCTCCTACAGGGACTCATTTAATATCTGGTGTATGTTTGGGTCTCAGTGAATGCATGTTGGAGACAAGCATGAAAAGAACTTTCTGTATACATATATATGTCAGCAAGAAGTGATGGGCACTGAGACTAACTGTGACAGCGACTCAAGCAGAGGGAAGTCATGGGTCATTTCTGGGTTCTGGGCTTGGACAGCTGACAGAGAGACAGTGGCCAAGGGTAGAGAGGCTGGGAAGAGGGAAGAAGGGATGATTCGTGTAGTAGTATAGTCTTTATTTTTGCAAAATGAAAATATGTTTACAGCTTAAACCAAATATAAAATTAACAAATACTCTTCATGAAAGAGTCAAACACCACAGAGGTATACAAAATGGTGCAAAGGAAAAGATCTTCAGCGATCTCATCTTCCTAGAGAGAGCCCATCCTTTGACTATTTGAAACCCCACCAGGTGGAGAGACGGTTGTAGGCCTCTATCTTGTAGGAGGAAACACCTGGCTGAGGCAGTTAGATTGTCGCTACCACTGGGCTGGCTGGAAGGGGACCAGGAAGTGGGCGTGGAGACAAACCAGCTCAGAGGCTCCAGAGCTGGGAGGGGTGGGGGCCAAGGGAGGCACAGGCTTTGCCCATCAATCCCTTCACACCTCAAAAAACTTCCTCCCTCCATTCCTCCTCTGACCCTCTTTTCTTCTCCTAGTGGAGGAGAGGAACAGGAAGAGGCTTTTAGAGGTAGGCCATGAGGCTAGGGACACCATGAATGATGTACTTTAAGGAAAAGAGGTCCCCAAAGGGATTTCCTGTGAAACAGGCCTCCAGGAAGATCCAGGAGCACCCTGACCCGGTGAGGTTTTGGCCAGCTGCCTCAGTTGGGGTTCTCATGTGGCCAGAAGCTGCCTCCTTATTCTTCCCATGCCCATCCCTAGAGTCATCCCATACCTCCTGACCAAAGGCTGTCTTTTGGGGCCCCTCTGGATTCAAGGTTTCTGATGTAACTAGAACCCTAAAGACCACTTTTTGGGAAGAAACCCAAAAGATAACCCAAACTGACCCCTGTTTTTAATTCTATACTTTAACAACTCTACAGGAAAAAGGAACACAGCAAATATCACACTTAGTGACATCCTTCTGCATTGTCATCTCATCATGCACATGCATTTTAGCTGCTGTCTTCAATGTGCACACACTATTTACTCTATAGTGTTTCATGTACTCACAGCTTTCTCGCACATCCCAGTTTCAGTGGGGCTGTGGCCTCCCTCTCAGTCACTGTAGAGCAGGCTGAGCCATTCACCTCTGTGCAAGCATTTGGCTTAAAGTGAAATCAACACCATTGCACCTATCCTTCCTTTCCTTATCAAAGCATCCTCTAGGAAAGTGGGATCTCCAAGCCAGCTGGTATATAGAGTCTCTGATCATTCCTGTTACAGTTTTATATACTGCTCTTCAGAAAAGCTGAACCAGTCGCAATGTACAGTGTCACCAATTTTCCTACAGCTCTGCCAGTGCTGGAGATACATACATATATGGTGTAACAGTTGTATAGTTAATCCATCCATTTAACAGATGAGAAAACTGAGGGCCAGAGAGACAAAGTCACTTTCCCTCGGGTCATTCAGCTAGTGTCTGGCAGATACATCCAGTTCTATAGGCACATGTTCTGCCCCCACTCAGCGCTTTGTCTGCCAAACCACTCTGCCTCTGACAGTTGCTTCTAGAAAGAGACACAGACGGCTCTTCTGACTTCTTTTGCCCTTGGAGGAAAACAGGAACACAGCCTTTCCCCCTTACAACTCCTGTGTCACAGAGACCAGGTTGCTCAGCTTCGTCCGGGCCCTTCCCCAGGCCTACTAGATCCAGGTCCTGAAGAGTTCCTCAGGAGGCAGCACGGTCGTGGCACAGGCATCCACCTCTTCCTTTCTGCAGCTGATTAACTTCTGGGGTGAGGTGGTGATTTTCTGAAAAATAATGTCCATGAATATTTATTTATTAGATGAATAGTAATACTGAAGTAGTAGCTGTTGCAGAGACTATCCCAGAAATCCCAATTATGTGATTAACTAACTTTCAAGCAACAAAAAAGCCCCGAACTATTCTAACTCCTAGATCAGGGGCTTCTGATGTTTCCTGAGAAGTCTCCCAGTTCACTGACCAGCAGATCTATTGGGACCCTGCTTCATCAGCGATCCTCTTACTGGGACCTTGCCCCCAAAAAGCCCAGCATGTAATTCTGGTCAGAAAAGCTAACATTTTTCTAGCAGAGAGCTCTGAAAATAATGACCTGGTCTGAGATGCTCTACATACAACACCTAGCAGAGTACCCAGTCCAGAGAGGGTACTCCTGAAACACAAGTCCCTTCCCTGTTCATATTTCACGTTCCTGCCATCTTCTCCCAGTGATCCCATTACATAGTCATAACTGGTTGTAGAAATGCAGGTACCAACTTTTCAGAGGGACCCTCTGCCCAACCATTGCTTGTTTGCTCACCTCCACCAAACTCACTTGGTCCTTCTGCAGTTCTCTCCCTTGGCCCTCCCCTTCCTCACTCCAAAGAGGGGCACATGAGCACACATAAATAGGCACAGTGGTTTTTGCTACCTCAGTCCCCAGGAGACATCAGCTTCATAGAGTCAGCTGCGCTTGATCCTTGTTTGTAAAGAGGCAGCTTCAAGGGGTCTCACTCTTAGTGTCCTCAGACAAATCACAGGGAAGGACCATGTACAAGCAGGGCTCACTGAGTGCAGGTGTCTTTGTGGAACTCACCACCAGTTTACTGCTGCTGGTTCAGTTAGATTCTCAGAACACCAACTACGTAAATCTGCAGTGGTTATACTTGATTATTTTTTAAATTCTGGAGCATTACTGTCCAATAAAAATATTATTCAATTTAAAGTTCTCTAGTAGCACATTTTAAAAGGTAAAAAGAAACAGGTAAAGTTAAATTTAATAATATATTTTATTTCAAAAAAATTATTTCAACATATAATTAATATTTTAAAATTAATAAAATATATATATATATTTGAACTGAATCTCCAAATCCATTGTGTTTTTCATATTTACAGTACATCTCAATGGGGACTAGTCAGGCTGCAAGTGCCCAACAGTCACATATGGCAGGTGGCTACTGTATTGGAGAGTGTAGTTCTAGAACATTAAATAGTATAACCTCAGAATTTCAGAAGGCGCAAGACTATTGTCCCATAGGTTAGAATAAACTTTCAAGTAAGGGCCAGCTGATACATGTTTCTTTAGTTTGAATTAGCTTTCAATGTTTAAAAATCAGGAGATTTCTCATGAAAGTCTCATTTTGTTTGTTTGTGTGTTTATCATTTAAAACTTGAAGATCTTGTAGCACTGGCTCACATACATTCCCTCTTGGCAGCAACCTGCTTGAACTGAGAAGCAGTTGCCTTCTTTAGCTGGAACATGTTTGCCATGGTCCCTACTCCCTAGCCCTATTGAATTGCGTTCATTGCACTGCACATTCTTTTCCCTCCTACCCTCCTTTCCTCCTTCCCTCCTTCCCTCCCTTCCTTCTTCCCTCCCTTCCTTCCTTCCTTCCCTCCCTTTCGTTCTTTCTTTCAACCTATATGGGCCCCAGAGGTAACTGATTTCAGAAACTCCATTTTCTATAAAGCACACAAAGTCATACTTGGGATGGTCCATTGAAGAATGCTAATTGGGGCCATCTTTATGCTGGCTACTAACATTACAGGGGAATGTGACAGCAAAAAGAGCCAGAATAAAGGGAGTCATGGAAAGGAAAGGAAGATCCTTTAGCACCAAGGCCTCCATAACCATGAAGCAATTATGGATGAAAGACAAGGAAAAGAAATTATATTTTAAAATAGTGAATATATACTGAGAAGTGTTAATATAATTTTCCTTGAATATGTATTTCTGCTTTAGAATGTTACTTGGTGATATCATCTTGAATGCAAAGACATTCTTTTATTTTTTTTCATTGTTGTTCTATTACGGTTGCCCCAATTTTCCCCCATTGCTCTCCCCTGCCCCGCCCACACCCCCACCCCTGCTCTCACGGTCAATCACCTCCCTACTGTCCATGTCCAGGGGTCATTTATACTTGTTCATTGATTCACCCTTCCCCTTCTTTCCCTCCTTATGCCCCTCCCCCATCTCTTCTGGTCACTGTCAGTCTGTTCCTTGTCTCCATGCCTCTGGGTTCTATTTTGCTCATTTGTTCATTAAGTTCCTCTTATGGGTGAGATAATATGGTATTTGTCCTTCATCACCTGGCTTATTTCACTTAGCATAATGCTCTCCAGTTCCATCCATGCTGTCATGAAAGGGAGGATTTCCTTTTTCTTTCTGCTGTGTAGTATTCCATTGTGTAAATGGACCACAGTTTTTTGATCCACTCATTTACTGACAGGCACTTGGGCTGTTTCCAGCACTTGATTATTATAAATAACACTGCTATGAACATAGGGGTGCATAGGTTCTTCTGAATTGGTGTTTCAGGATTCTTAGGGTATAATCCCAGCGGTGGAATCACTGGATCAAAAGGTAGTTCCATGTTTAACTTTTTGAGGAAATTCCATACTGTTTTCCATAGTGGCTGCATCAGTCTGCATTCCCACCAACAGTGCACAAGGGTTCCCTTTTCTCCACAGCCTCGCCAGTACTTGTTGATTGTTTGTTGTTTGATGATGGCCATTCTGACTGGTATGAAGTGGTATCTCACTGTGGTTTTAATTTGCATCGCTCTGATGGCTAGTGATGTTGCGCATTCTTTCATATGTCTCTGGGCCCTGTGTATATCCTCCTTGGAGAAGTGTCTGTTCATGTCCTTTGCCTATATCTTCATTGGATTGTTTGTCTTCCTGGTGTTGAGTCATATGAGTTCTTTATATACAGGGTCCAGCAAAAATAATGCCTCTTTTTTATTACAAAATCTTTTATTACAAAATCATAAACATATAATTCTGTAACATACAATATCACACTCAAGCACACCATATAGCATTTAGGTGAAATGTTCAAATCAAAACTGTAAATTATTATACCCACTGTATTACCCTACCAACCATACTCAAGCAGAGTATGCCAGCAAGCATACTCAAGCATACAAGCCAGACCCTGTATTTTGGAGCCCAAACCTTTGTCCATGGTATCATTGGCAAATGCGTTTTCCCATATGTTTAGTTTCCTTTTTATTTTCATGATGTTTTCTTTAGCTGTGTAGAAATTTTAATTTGATATAGTCCCATTTGCTTGGCCTTTCCTTTATTTCTCTTGCCCTAGAGGATATATCGGTGAAAATATTGCTGTGTGGGATATCTAAAGTTTTACTGCCTATGTTTTCCTCTAGGACTTTATGGTGTCACAGCTTACATTTAAGTCTTTTATCCATTTTGAGTTTATTCTGGTATATGACATAAGTTGGTGGTCTAGTTTCATTTCTCTCTTTTTTTTTTTTTTTTTTTTGCATATACTATTCCAGTTCTCCCAACACCATTTGTTGAAGAGGTTATTTTTACTCCATTTTGCACTCTTGCTAAATGCAAAAACATTCTTAATGGTATATTTCAGAGGGCAACCATCACCAACTGTAAAATTATAGATGTAGACATGATATATTTAATCCAAACAGATAAATTAAACACTTACAAACTCAGTCGGGCTTTTTAAAGAGTTGTCAAGGATTTCCACTTGGTAATTTTCTGTGGTTTAATTGGAAAGATGTGTGGATTTTGCAAAGATGGCTGGAAGTTGCTTTTTAATAGTTTGGAAGATTATCTGCAACTAATGCAAACGATGAAGTGCAGGTAGGCTATACTAAGGCTAAGAGAGGGAGAGAAGGCATGGTGATAGACAGCTCTAGAATCCATTGGGAATCCAATGGACACTACTGATCTACTTCTCACACAGCACTATGGGAAATGCATATACTCAGAAAAATTTTACACTTAAAAAACACAGGGAGAAACGGCCCTGGCCAGTATAGCTCAGTTAGTTGGAGCATCATCCCATAGACCAAAAGGTCACAGGTTTAATTCCCGATCAGGGCACATACCTAGGTTGCAGGTTCTATCCCCACTGGGGCATGTACAAGAAGGCAACCAATCAGTTTCTCTCTCTCTCCCTCTCTCTCTCTCTTTCTCTCTCTCTCTCCCCCTGCACTCTCTCTGAAAACAATGGGGAAAAAATGTCTTGATTGAGGACTTAAAAAAGAAGAGAAACATAGGGAGAAACAATAAAAATCAAAAGCCTTATGAAAAGGAATGCATGATGCATTTAAGGAACAGACACTAAAATGATGTAGGAAAGATGAGAATAGAAAAGCAAAAGTTAGTCCAGGGTAGTGATATCTATATCCTATGGGTGAAAGTGGGTCCTGCTCTCATAGACTCTCCATGTCTCTCATCTCATTTAAGTTGTTTGATTTTGTCCAAGCTTTTGGTAGGGCATGGCTTATAATGCATTAGGATTCCTAGGAGTGCTTGTCATTTGAGGGCTCTTCAGGTGCATCTGAAATTTAAGAAGCTGATCCTTTACATGGTTCTTTCCCTGGCCCTTTATTCTGTTACTCACGAAGAAGACACGGTCTTGGAAGTGTCCTAGTGCCCCTGATCCTGAGGTAGGGAGGAAACTCTACTGGGTCAATGAATGTAGAACCAGAAGAGGGATAATGACAGAAGGTGTTAGAAATGGTATGGTCTGTGAGCAGAGGGTAAGCAAGGGCAACCGAGTTGAAAGGAAAACAGTAGTAAAGGGTTACTGCCTGATGGAATTCAGCTGAGAAAAGCTGAACTTTTCACCAGGTCTGGGAAAGAAGAGCTAGTGGACCCGCCTGAGCTAGGAATGCTGCCCCTCCCACTATTATCATTTCAGATTGACTCAGGAAGGCCTCTTTCCTTGCAGGTGTCTGCTTCTACCTATGGCAGAGGCACCCCAATCAAACCAACTCTCCTATAGATAACACCTTCAAAAAATGATCAAAATATAAAACTAACTTCCTTGCTCTGGTGTAGTACTTCAGTTGGTTAGAGCATTGTGCTGACATGCCAAGGTCATGGATTCAATCCCCAGTCTGGGCACACACAAGAATCAACCAATGAATGCAGAGATTAAGTGGAACAACAAGTCGATATTTCTTTCTATCTATCTATCATCTATCTTTCCCTTCATTTTTCTTTAAAATCAATTTTAAATTAAAAAAAAAACAACTAACTTCCTTAAGTCACTGGAGAGCAACCAAAAGTTGACACTGGGAAAAAGGGAATGTCACTTGGTGAGTTTCCCATTTTTTTACAGTTCCTTGTCTGAGGGCAGGTCTCTCTTGATGCCATGAACAATGATAGTTTTACTGGCTTGAAGAACCAGGAAACAGATACTGGGTGAAACACGAAAGTTAACATTCCAATGAAAAGACAGAGATTGTTGAAATGAGTTCATTTTTTAAAGGGCTAACTGTACCCTGCTATAAGAGACATACTTTAAATATGAGGACTCAGATGAGTTTAAAGAGTGTGGAAAGAAGATAAACCATACAAATAGTAAACAAACCAGAAAAGGTTATATTAACATCAAGATAAGGACAATTGCCAGAGATAAAGAGGGACATTTCATGATGATAGAAGGGCCCATTATTCAGGAAGATGTATCATATATAAATATGCATACTCCTAAAACAGAGCTTCAAAATACATAAAGGAAAAATTGACATAAAAGAAGAAAAAAACATACCCACACTCATACTTAGAAATTTTGTTGTCTCTCTCTCTCTCTCTCAATAACTAATAGAACTATACAAAAAAATATGAACAGTATTATGCAACATTTTGGCCCAATTGATAATTATAAAACACTACCCCAAGCACTGCAGAATACACATCCTTTTATGCTTCAGGGATCTCTGAGTCCCCAAGTCATTGCTGAAGGGAACGTGGCCTGCCCTGTTTCCTGTGTTTGATACATCACACTACCTTCATGTTTAGCAGGAAACCACTTAATAAACCACTCAGAGTGGGCTGGAGGGGGAACTGATGAAAAGGAGGAAAGGAAAGAAGTCAATATTGTGTATGTAAAGCCTTAGAATAGTGCCTGGTGCTCAACCCTGCCCTAGTCTCAGCTAAAGTTATAACTACCTGGAAGTACTGCAGAAAAGAGAGCAGGCTTAGGGTAGCAAGGTAGGAGGGTGTCCTGAAGGCTGGATTAGGGAGGATCATTCCTCTTGTGTAGGGAGAGTATGGCCCTCACTATCAGGGCCAAACAGCTGTGCCAAAAGTGACGCCTTCCAGTGATTCCAGGCTGATCCAGAACTGCAGGAATGTGTAGCCTGCAGGCAGTTCCAGTTCTCCTTGTTTCTGAGAAGCTGCCTGCTAACTCCCTCCTTTCTGGAAAAAGCTGTGAAAAATCCGAGGTTTGTTTTTGTTTGTTGTTTTGCTTTGCTTTGCTTTGTTTTTGTGCTGCATTGTGCATTGAGGTCTGGGGGGAGGGGTACAGGAGGCAGCCAGATGGAACATGGGGTTTGCTGCTGGACGCCTGCTTGTGCCTCTCCCTGACACTTGGCATGGGCACACAGGACCTACCCCCATCAGAGAGATTCGGACCTGTGGACCAGTGTCCTCAGGAATATGATAAGAATCCTGGGCTCGCAAGGATCTGAGAAAAAACAGATGGGGACCCTAACTTTCGGTAGTTACTAGCCTGGTCCAGATTGTTCCCAGCCCCCAGCCAAAGGCAAAGTACAGTCTATGCTCCCACAGTCACACCCATGCATTTCGCCCTGAGAACCAGTGAGGCTCTTGGCAGGTGAACTGAATAAGTTGTGTCAGAACAAGTTACTGGAGGCAGCTGCTGTTAAAATCATGGGGGCCAAGAACACTCAGCAGGCTGGTCTGGAAGATTGAGACTGGGTGTGACTCTGAACTGCCAAGCACCCAAGGCTGTGTGTGCAACACACCTGCTCTCTTGGCCATGCCAGGTCCTGCGGGCAAGCAGCAGTGACCTGACTGGGGAAGGTCCCCACTCCCTGGAGAAGGGAGGTCTCTCCCAGACCCTCTAATTAGAGAAGTCCTGTACATGCTCTTCTGCTCTCCACGCACAAATGCCTGTCATCCAGGAAACTGTGTGCCTGTGCCCAACTACAGCCCAAACTACATCGGGTCCGTACCGTGCTGAAAGAAAAACAGGACGCTCTTACCAAGGTGTCAGGCAGCACCACTGCGGGGCAGCAGGAGTACCGGAGCAGACGGCCCATCTTCCAGATGGAGAACAGCAGAACCACAAGGATCAGCATGAAGCCGGCAAATGCAAACAGGGCCAGCTCCAGGGGCAGGGGCTCTTCTGCAAACGAAAAGATAAGGACAGGCTTAGGAGACACCGTGAAGATGAAATCTCCAACCTGGGCCCTCCCTCACTTTTCTGGGGTTGGCTCTGCCTGTGGGCAAAACAGCAGATACCAACATCTTGAGGTTCCATGTATGCCCTAGTGACTAAAGCTACGACCATTAAATCCATTTTTCTAGAATCCAGGTTAAGGCTTTGGTTTCCAGAAAGCCCCAGGGAAGATTAAAATCTTTTTTCTTGGAAAGGGGGAGGAGCATCAACTGTTAAGCCCCCAGCCATGTTGAACCTGAGGCCACTGCCAGGAGGAGGGCAGAATGCCAGGCCCAGGCAGGATGAGAGGGAGGTGCCGAAAAAGAACAGCACAGAGTGGAACTGGGTGGTAACTGAAACAAAGTGTGTTTCACAGTTTGCTTCTGGCATTAATTCATCTTATGAGGAAAGTACTAAGTTCAGAAAACAGTCACATAATAACTATGATATATCAGGCCCCTACTATGTTTAAGTGACTTACCCCAGGTCACACAGGTAGGGCTGGCCCCAAAGCCTGCAGTCACTCTACCAAGTAAATGGATCAGAAAGTACCAAGTGGGAGCCTCTGGAGATGCAGAAGTGGGGGTGGGTTATTTTTTCCTCATGTAACCTGGAGCAACTCCTTTAGGCCCTCTAGGCTGAACTGCTCACATGCGGTGTGAAAGGTGGCACAGCCTGTGAGGCTGCAGAGAAGCTGGTGGTCTTGCACCTGGGCCTAGGGGCACTGTACTTTGTTTCGATGCTTTTGAAAAATATTTTGGCAGTACAGAGCAAGAGATACACGAATACATGTATCTCTTGCTCACACCCTTTCATCTACTTTTGTGAGTAGGTTCCAAAAAAATAATTCCAAGAAAGGAAACAATAATATGCATAAAGCAGTTCACAGTAGCATCTGGGCTAGAGCATCAGCATCATAACCAGTCTCCCTCCCTGCCCAAAGTCACATACCTACACCTCCCCCACCTCCAGGCATGCTCAGTGTGTTTTCTTCATAGCAGGTACCACCAAGGGAAGCTATCTCATTGGTTTACTTGTCTGTAGCCTGTCTCTCCAACTAGAAGTTAAGCTCCCTGAGAGCAGGGACTTCCCTGCTGTATCCCAGGGACTTGCCCAACATGTGTCATGTAATCAATACTCCATAAATATTCATTCAATGAATGAATTAATTAATCAATGACCATCATCTTTAAAAGCAAATGGAAATGACCTAACGCATGGAAATGACCTAAGGCATGGAAATGACCTAAATACCCCCAAATAGGAGATGATTTAATTTAGTATGAGACATCAGCACAGTAGGTTAAGAATTCAGCTATTAAAATGGGCATTAGGACATATACAAGTTTGTTCACTACAGTATGGTTTATAGTAGCAAAAGACTGGAAAGCACAAAATATGCCCATTAACAGAGAAACAATTATATACATTTTGGCACATAGATACATTGGCTCATTATGCATCTTCTTTTCAAACGAGGTAGGTCCATGTGTGCTGACATGGAAAGATGTTCACAATATACCACTAAGTGAAGATAAGGAAGAAACAGAACAGTAAGCAAAGTACAGACCCATTTGCACCTCTGAGTCCTGGTGTCACATAGTAACGAGCAGGTTAAATGCCAAACTTGCCAAATAAACCTCCTCAGTAGAAAGCACATACCTCTTACTTTACATACTTCGGTGTTGTTTGAATTTTTTAACAAGCTTGACTTAATAGGGTTTCAAAAAGCAATACAAAATGACAGTCAGAAAGTTTGCTTAGGAAATGTGATGAACATTTGTGGAAAAGCAGGCCCAAAGCACATGTGCACTCCAACTGCCACATGTGTCTACATGGGGGCAACGATGGAAGGATGACACCCCTTTGGAGAGCAGTTTGTGGTAACAGCAGTCAAAACTCAAATGTTTATGCCTCTGACCAAGCAACTCTACCTCTAGAAATTTATCCTTCAAGTAGACCAACAAAATGTTCTATCTGCAAGGTAATTAAAAAAGCATTGCCTGCAGTAGCAAAGTATTGGGGGGAAAAACTAAAAGCCCATCAATAGGAAGCTGGTTAAATGAGTTATATATACACAAAAGGGAATACTACGTAGCCATAAAGAAAGATGAGGTTCTGTACAGATATGGAAAAATGTATGAGATATATAAAGTGGAAAAGATAAGATCCAGACTAGTGCAAAGAGTATGCTACCATTTATGCTAAAGAAAGAAAGATAGGAAGGAGAGTTTCCATGTGTAGCTTATATTTTTTGAAACTTATGAATGTACTGAATACTCAAAACAATTATTTTGTTAAAGACTAAAAAGTTATATACAAAAATGTCTCTAATGGTGTTTGAGTGGCAGAATCAGAAAATGAGGGCTTTTGTTTTGTTTCTTTTCCAAGGGTTTTTAAACATTGTGGAGTTTTAGACCATAAAAAATTTCAAGGGGAAAAACTAAGTCAAACAAGAGGAGTCTATAGACTTCCCGTATGTCTCTCCTAGCTGAAAGCAGCTGTGATATACAATGGGCTCCCTTCTCATATGGTCTGACTCTCCAGCTCCTGGCTGCCTCTCTTGCAACTCCTCCCTGATTCACTTGGTAAGCCAGCCTTGCAATATCTGGCCTCAGGCCTAGGGACTTTTCAGGGAAAAGTATTCCAGAGAGCTGCTCAAGTGACCCCCACCCAGCCCAGAGTGGACTCTCCCCTATAGGGGAACTGGAGCGAAGCACACGTTCACCACAGGAACCCATCCAGACTCAGGAAGCAGGTCAGTGAGACCAGGGGAGATTGAGAACCAAAGAAACCCAGCGGGCAGCCGAGCATCCTTACGGAGGTACTGTCACCTGTGCAGGACTCCAGGGAAAAGATAGGTCATCCTTACCTTGCACCTTGATACATTCTGCCTGGCTGAAGGTGCTGTGCCTCCCGATGGCCTTCACGAATGTCTGGGCCTTCACACAGTACTCCCCGGGCTCCCTGGTTTCCAGGTGCACTGGAATGCCCCTGCTCCTCACTCTTTTGACATGTTCCTTTAGGAGAGCAGAAAACAGTTGCACACTGAGGGAAGCAAGACGGGAAAGGGAGAGAAGAGCCAGAGGAGGAAAGCTGCAGATATTCCCTTTCCAGACTGCATACAGAATGCTCCCTCTCATTCATTCATTCATTCATTCATTCATTCATTCATTCACTAGTGTTTGTTTATTAGGCACCTACTATGTGCCATGCACTGTTGTAGACACTACTCTGATGGAACTTAAGAGGGAGAAAACAGACAATATGTAATATTTAGCAGGTGGTGGTAAGAAAAATGAGGCAGGGCAAAAAGATAGAGTAATGAGGACACGCTAAACAGAACGGCTAGGGAAGACCTCTCCGATAGGATAATGTAGGCAGAGAACTGGAGGTTGGAAATATGACTGAGCCAGGCTGGGGATGAGTGCACAGGAGCAATGGAACCAGTGGGCAGTGCCTCCTTACACATCCATCCATCAACCTGTCTGTTTATCTATCTGTACATCCTTCTACCTCTACCCATCTCCTGAGGCCTGTGCTCCTTGTCTGAACCTGCAGAGGTTTGCTTGGGCCAAACCCAGGTAACTCAGGGTACATACCCCTCTCCCAGTTACCAAGGGTGGAAAGAGAGCTCCATCCAAAAGAATCTGAGGGAGCCACGTACTCCCTCCTGCCCAGGTCCTGAGCTGTCCCCCATACCATGGCTGGCAATGCCATGTCCTAACATTGAGCCCTGACTCAGCAGGAGTAAATACCGGAAACCATTGTTAATGCCCATTCCACCTACCCATACCACCTCCCAGAGGAAACTACTCAACCTACTGCTCTTGTTGAGTGGGTGCTGGGGCATGTGTCCTGCTCCTCAAGACACTGCTATGAGGTCAGGGGTACATCTGGCCTCAGAAGGGTCCATCAGAGGCCAGCCAGAACCCTGCAAACCCTAAGATTAGCCTGATAAGATAAGCAGGACCAATCAGATTTCCTCTCTTAGGATTTGGTCTTGGCAAAATCAGGAGCTGGAAACAGGGACAAAGGAAAGAGGACACAATGAAGGGTAGTCATGCCTGAGAGGCCTTGAGGGGCTGGTGAGGCACAGCCACAGGAGTGAGTAGGAAGGAATGATGAGTAATCAGGGCCTGGGAGTAAGCCGGGGAGAGGGCCACAGAAAGAGTGCAATAGAGACGACCCACCAGAGGGAAGCAAGGACTCCACAGGCAAGGGCTCTTGGGTAAAGAGGTCATGCTGCAGCCGGGCTCTGGGCAAGCTCTCTCATAGATCCTGTGAGAGCTCCTTATTGCACCTGACTAATCCCTATGCTAAAGTCCACTTTTGTTTGTGCTGACTGGAGTGGGCCTTGTCAACATATCAGCTTGCACAGAGCTTCCACAGCTCTGACTGTTCCCTAGTTCTTGCTCAAGCTCCACCTCTTCTGCTGGTGTGGCTGCTCTTGTTTGACCATTCCCTCTGGGAGAGCTGACCTCCCACCCATCCCAGTAGGTAGCAGCCATCCCACGGGGAAGGGTAGCGCCCCATCTAGGCATTCTGTGTGACCCACTGGCTCATAATCAGGGTAATCCAGAAGCCAGTTCTTGGCTCTCTGCCCTGACTCCTGCACCCTGCCCAGATGCACACCCTAAAGAGGCTTGTGCCGGCCTCATGTGCTTTTGAAATCATCCAGTTCATCTGGAACACCCTGGTCTGCTGCACCTAAAGATGCCAGGGAGAATGCTGAGAAGGTTAAGTTAATAAGGAGGAAGAAATGCATTGAGAAGGTATTGTGTATCCAAGTATGTTAGCGTTTACAGCAAGGCGGCAGTCCCCATATTTCAGTAAATCTGGCCAAGAAGGCTCCCAGCCAAGGCCTGGGTTAGAACCAAGGCAGTTCTTCAAAGAGGAGGCTACTGAGATTGTCAGCCTACTCCTATCCCATCTTTCCCACACTTCACTCAGGCCTGGCCATCCCCACACAAGCCCACACAGTGAGTACTGCAGGGGTTGGCTTCTCTCAACCACCTCTCCCTGCTGTGACTCCTTCCCCAAAGTGTGACTCAAAGGCCAAGGCAAGAAGTCTTACCTTAGCACCAGGCTCCCTCCTCCAGTAGGCCACGAGGAACTCAAGCTGGGGCCCCAAGTCTTCCAGCTTAATAACCAGGTGTAAGCCATCCTTGATGACCTCCATTCTAGGTGGGGTTAGAATAGCTGTTGGCAAGACAAGAGGCAAATCAAAACCAGCCCCAGACAGGACTGATTTCTGTTCTGGGAAACCATGACCAAGTCATTGGTGGAAACATGCCAGGCTCCTGGGAAGGGATGGGGTTGGATGTAGCTCTACAGCACGTAGAAGCATGTCCACGAATATTCTTCTGTACCCAGTAGGGGCTCAGCAAATGCTTTTTAAATAATGCGAAAAATTTTTTTTAAAAGACCAAGATTACTACAATTCGCATGAATTGGTGACATGAACTGGCCACTGATGACTTTCAGACGTCAGCAAATCAGCAGCCTGTGAATGGACCATTCTATTCTCAGCCCGAGGACTCATTTCATATTCTTAATGGGGGATGTTGGAAAACCAGAGGGTTTTACAAATTCCAGTAACCAACTCTAGAAATTACAGCACAAGCACAAACACTATCTTTCACAGTTATAGTTCCAAACAGATTGTCCAGCAGTCCCTGTGGATACTTTCCCATTGGCAGACCAAGAACAGAAGGGCCCATGCCGGCAGCCTCTAGTCCCTGGCTAGTGATGATGGATCCATGCTTGCCTCTCAGATCCAGACACGGCAGGACCAGAAGGGCCCCCTGATTGTTGGCGGTGGCTTGAGAAGTAGCGTGGAATGTGTTCTGGGCCAAATCCCCCTGCATTGAGGTCACTGGATACTCATTCAAAAGGAAGTCATTTCCTGCAGGGAGTTTTCAGACAGCAAAACATTTCCTGGCATTTGAAAAGCTGCCTGGATAGGGGACAGAAGGACTTAGGAAGTCAAGGACCAACTGTGCAAAACATCCCCAGTTCAGAGGCTTCACATGAGCACACAGCACCCATGAAATGCCTCCAGAAAAGAGGTGCTTGACTCCTCCAGTTTTAGATCAAACATGATTGGAATTGTATCTTCTGATCTCCATCTTTACTGAAAATAGAATTAGAAAAAATGACCTGAAGTCATTTCAGTTCTGAGAATATTTTGACAGTATTGGAGGAAGAACCTCTGTCCTATGTGCTCTACATGTTCATTTAATCTGTCCAGCAAGCTTAAGAAAGTAAATAATGCACCCGTTGTACAGATGATGTAACTGAGCCTCAGAGAGGTTAAGTGACTTGACCAAAGTCACACAGTTAGTGGCCAGAATTTGAGCCCATGTTTTTCCCAAGTTTCTAGACTCTGCTTTGTGGGGTGTTTAGCCTCTGTGTCGTGGATCTCAACTCTGGCCGTTCATGAGAATAACCCCGGGGAAAATTTTAAATACCCAGTGAACAGGATGCACATAAATTATTTAAATCAGGCTCTGTAGATGGGCCCCAAACATAAATGGTTCTAAAGCTCCCCTGTGACTTGATGTGCATTCAAGGTTATTGACCTCTGCTCTCAACAAAGGGTTCCATATAAAGAAAGGAGATCTTTTTTCAGAGCAGCTTTAAAACAGGACTTTTCATGTGTTTGGGGAGAAGTCACATTGGCCTTTTTCAGAGGCAAAGAAATAGACTTAATGCCCTTAAGTGTCATGATTCCATCCCAGCCCTATAGCTAACTCCACCTGCACACAGGTCACACAGAACCACATCTTCCACCTTCTGGGGCAGGTACAGAGACTCCTGTTCCTCAGCTCCTCCTGCAGCAAAACTTTTTCCTGTCTATAATGGCCTTCTCAAACACAAGTTGTCACTGCACAAACCCCCACCCACACAGTTTTGTAGGCACTTCCTTATCTCCCTCTGACCCATGCCTTCCTTTTCAGCGGCAGCTGCCAGCCCCCCAGCAATGGTCTCTGCTGGAGCCCTGTGCTCCCAGCAGCCAGAGGGAGGCGCTGCTGGGTGATATCTGGGCACCATGGGCAGAGGCAGAGGCAGAGCTGCACTGCCCCCCAGTGTCCCTCAGTCTCCCCCAGTGCCTGGAGCTGGAACTCCACTACTTCTAGTATATCCTCCCAGGGCCTGGTCAGAAAACCTCACATTCTGCATCAAAATTCCTATTGGTATCATATTCCAATGGGCCCATTCCTGCCCCACCTCTTCCTTCCCCTGCTCTCTAGCTCTCAACTTAGGCATGCCTAGGGTAATAATAAAAATAACAATACTTAAAAATAGCTGAGTACTATAACAGAACAGCACTGCATTGAGCATTTACACATTTCATCTTGTGTAATTCCCACAAGTATGCTTTGAGCAAACGGTTGCCCTTCTTACAGATGAGGAGGCAGGGAGGGACCCATGGCTGAGCTGGATTTGAACCACATCCATCTGACTCTAGAGAGCCAACCTCCCCTTCAAATCTACCTTCACCTCCCTCAGCCCCTTCTAGCTTGGGCTCTCCACCGCCACCACCATCACCTTCCAAACCCTCCTGATTTTTACCCGATTTCACACATTTGACTCATCCCATTACTGCCCATGCTGCTCCTAACCCTCCTTTGTCCTCACAGCAGATGATCTTCTGCCACACCAAGAAAACAAAAGGTCACCAAGACCTTTCCCTTGCCTCTCTTGCAGCTTCAAACCGGTCACATTATCACCCACACCTGTCTCAGAGGCGGATCTGCCTTGCTCCTTCCCACCTCCACTCCATCCCCCACCCAGCAGCCTAACCACCACCCGCACTGTTCCATGAAGTCATTTTCTGAAGGGCCCATTTAGGGGCCTTCCCTCTACCTGCTTTTTAAATACTGAAGTTTCCCAGGATCCTGTCCTGAATTATCTTTGTTCTTAGATCTCGTCCCTGGACAATTGCACCTACCCCAAAACCTTTAACTATTAACTTTGTTCTGTGTGTTGGGCCTTGACCAGTCTGAGTCCCAGGGCCTGATTTACAGTTGCCAATCAGGCATCTTGGCATGATATCTTATAGGAATCTCTATGTCAAAGAGCCCAAAGCCAGAAGTGTCTCCTATTTGTCAAGACTAGTTGAAGCCCCCTGCGTTTTCTGCCTTGGATGACATTCTTGCCAACCCCAGTTGGAAGCTGGACACTAACATTATCTCTCCCAATGACTGGTCCTCAAGCTCTGTCCTAACTCAGCCATGTCTCAAATTTGTCTTCTCCTCCCTATCCCTTTCCCCACTACTGGGCTCAGGACCCCCTTCTCAATACCCTGCCCTACAGACTTGACCTACTCCAGTTCCCTTTTGCACAGCAGCCAGAGTGATTGTTCTGTAAGACAAACCTGGCCTAGACACTCTCTTTTTCTATGCTTCCCTCTACCAATTTGATCAACTTCACATCAAAGTCCTTCACCGTGTGACCAGCTGCTTCCTCACCCACTGGCGTTTCAGTCCTTGCTCCCACTACTCCCAAACACACACAGCTTTTTATACATTGGCCATTGTGCTTGCCATAGTTGGCCACCTATCTGTATTCTTCCCTTAGTTCTTCCTCAATCATTTTCCGGGTACTATTCCTATAGAGAAGTCATATATTTCCCAGTGACCATAAAAGGGCAACCATTTCTGGTAGCTCTGTTAAACATACGGACCCTATTGCACAAAGAAAAGCTGCTCACACAGGCAACAAACATGGGGTTAATCAGGTGCCAGATGGGAATCAACTAGAAGATTTATCGAGGCACTGTCAGGGTGGAAATAAACAATCCTAACCCCATCTCCCCACTTTCAGAGCAGCTTCGCAATGTCACCACCACTTGCAGACACTGACAGAGATAGATAATGACTTTAAAAGCCTCTTTCAAAATGAGAAAGAGGGCATATGGGAAGCAGTTGGCATTTTTGTTTTAAATGAACCAGTTAGAGTTGTTCGTGTTCATAGTACTCTGGCTTTGCGAGACTAACTTGATGCTAGAAAGAATCCCCAAAACTTCAGAGAACATGGTTCCTGAAGGGGAAGGCTGGTAGCAGTGGGGGAGTACAGAGAGAAATGTCTTACTTGAGTTTCGATTAAAGGGGTGCTTCAGCATGCTCCAGGCTGAGTCCTGTGAGCCTAGGGTGGCCCTGACACGGAGGTTGTATGGCACGGTGGCAGTGATGTCATCAGTAACATCACATTCAGGAACTTTGGTAGGTGAGCACCTGCTGCTGGGGATCCAGACGTGGCTCATGTACAGGCTCTCATACTCTCTGGCCAAAGAGAGGAAGGCACAGTGTTACACTACCCACTTCTATGCAGGCTCAGTGATGGCTGCAAGTAACTGCCTTACCCACCTGATTTTCATAGGTCAGCAAAATAAGCATTTGCTCTACATTCCAGTTCCTCCATCCTCCTCCCTGACCAACCATCCATTCTTCCTTACTCCTTTTATGACCAAACAAGGGAAACCCAGGCATAAACCTAATGTGTCCAGGTCTCTCCATCTCCACAGTCACCACCCCAATCTCAGCTACTGTCATCCGCTGCCTTGCTATGGTCTCCCAACTGATTTTCCAGCTTCCCCCCCTGCCATTCTTCAAACCATTCATCACTCAGCAAATCATGAGATTTCTATACTTAATGGCTTCTAAAACACTGAGAACGGAATTCAAACTTTTTCCTCTGGCCTCTCTCTCATTCCACCCCTGCACATGCTCTTTCCTTCGCACTGGCCTCCTCGCTGAGCTCTTTACTTTAGGACCTCTAACTAGCTGTTCACTGTGTCTCTAATGCTGTCTCTGCTGTTTACATTGGCTGGCTCCTTCTGTCCTTCAGATGTGGGCTTAAATATATTCCTCAGACAGGCCTTCCCTGACCACTTAATGAAAAGGAGTCACAGGGTCAGCTGTCTTGTGCATCAGCCTTTTAGCTTCCTCCCAGCACTGAATACTCTCTGAAGTTACCTAGAGCAGTGCTGCCCAGAAAACGTGCTGTGATGATGGAAATGTTCTACATTGGTGTTGTTCAATATGGTGGCCACTACCACATGTGGCTATTGGGAATTTGAAATGTGACTAGTGTGGCAAGATACAGACATTTCCATTTAATTTAAATAGCTTTTTGTGTCTAGTGGCTACCACACTGGACAGTGCAGATCCAAGTGTTGTTTTTTTTTACCTTTTTACTGGCTGTCTCCTTCCTTAAATGTAAGCTCCGTATTCCCACAAACTTTGTTGACTGTATCCTGAGCTTAGAAGAATGTCTACACACATAGGTTCTCAGTTTGTATTTATTGTCATTGAAATATGTTGAGCACCTTTGTGACCCTGTTGCTCCTCAGTGGCTCTGAGGGTCTGAGCACGTGCAGAAGAGCAGAGCCTACTTGGCCCCAGGGCCAGCTGACCCATAGGGTCACAATTTGTTTTGATTCATAGAAAGAAAAACCAAAGTCTCCCCCACCCCCTAAGGATCTGAGTCTCCAGTGACCTATCCACCTGAAGTCAGTCAAACTCATTTCTTCAGATTTTCTTCAGCATTAGACAATTGATTCACCATTGAAAAGAAGCTTTGTCAAAATGTGTTTATACACATTTGAGTTCCCAGAGAGTTCACTCTCAAATACACAAGACAATTTCCCTGGCTTCTTCAACTCTCCCAAAACCAGTGCAGACAGAGGTGGCAGGTCACTGGAGATAATCTATCCCTGGATGCACAAAGCCTCCTTGGGCTCTGTGCCTCCAGCAATAAACTACTGTCTAAGGGGGGGAAAACCCATAAAACAAAAAAGCTCACCCCTGGTACTCAACAGAATAGTGTATTATTTCTTCAGGCATGGCCACTGGGCTCCATATCAAGAGGTGCTTCATATTGGTTGATTGTACAGACAGGTTCTGAGGAGCAGGAAGAATAGCAGCTCCATCTAGGATCAAGGCAGATGGACAAGCTGACAGATGGGCTCATTTTGGAGGAATGCCACAGCTTTAAATTAGTTTCTAATGAGATTTCATATATCTATGAACCAGAAACACCTCTAAAATCATCATACTTGTGTTAATGCTAATTTTTTCTATCATTGTCATTCTATCTTTGGTGATAAAATGACATTAATATTCATAATCATAATGGCTAATATTATTGAGCACTTACCATGTTCTATCTAGACCATATGCTAGATTGTTACATGATTACCTCATTTAATCCTCATGACCATACTGGGAGGTAAAAACTATTATTTTCTCCATTGCACAAATGACAAAACTGAGGAACATTGTTTATAACTCTGTCAGATCAACCTAGGTGCACGCCTTGACTCTGCCACTTACCATGTGACCTTAAGCAAGTTGAATAAACCTGACCACTCTACCCCTTCATGGAATTTATGCCCACACAGCCTCCTGCCAGCTCCTCAGCACCTCCCTCTCCTGCTACTGCCGTCCAAAGCACATGCCTTCACATCCCCCAGCAAGTCAGAATGGGCATCAGCTCTCGGCTGGGAAGTACAGGCTGGTCTGCTGTGTAGGAAGCCCAATCCAGATAGGCACCAAGTCAACTCAGAGACTCAAACCCAGGCACATTGCAGACACCTGAGCCAGCCTGGAACACAAGCCTCTGCTCACACAGGTGTGTGTGGTGTGCCCAAGTATGCACACACTGGGTCTACAGTTTGCACACAGAATGAAAGAGTCCTGTAGCGCCGAACATGCACTCATAAGAACTTTAGGAAGCCTGGGGGCTCATCCTGTGTGTTAAGCCAAGGTGCAGTCTGGCTTCTCTGCTACAGTCCTTCTTTCCCCCATTTCAAATGCTCTTCTTTTAATGCCTAACACCTGCCTCCCCTTGCTGTTACACTCACAGTGATAACATCAAGAGCACAGTAGGAGCCCTCACTCAGGACTTTTCATCTTGGTGTCTGTCTCCAGATTGGCACCTGTTGTTATCAAGCCCCATGACCACGAGAGGATGGAGGTTGCTGGGGCCACCCCGCCTGCCTCCCCTGCTTCTTCTCTAATGTAGGACCTGGTGATGCACCTTCATCCCACCCTCAGCACCTATGGCCTGCCCTGTGAGGAAACACCTGGGGTACCCACAAGGCGAGCTTCCTGTCCTCTCCACCTCTAACCTTGAAATCACCCAAAGGACGAAAAGAAAAGAGGGCCAGCCAGCTGCAGTGAGGTGGCACGAAAGGGCAGGGCATGGTCCTTTCTGACACTTTCTCTGGTAAAGTAATAAAAAATTTTTCTAGTCAACTATGTGTGGAATGTAAAACTATAATTCATAATTCTATGAAATGGAAACCTCCAGACTCAGATGGTTTCACTGGAGAATCCTACCAAATATTTTTTTAAATTAACACTAATTTTACACAATCTCTTCCATGAAATAAAGAGGAAAGAATACTTCCCAATTTATTTTATGAAGCCAGTATTACCCCGATACCAAAATCAGACAAAGGTAGTAGTATATATTTAAAAATCAAAACAAACAAAAAAAAGAGACCTATATGTCTCATGCACTTAGATGCAAAAATTGTCAACAAAATATTAGCAATCTAAATCCCACAATACATAAAAAGGATTATACACCATGACCAACTGAGATTTATTTTAGGTATGCAAGGCAGGTTCAACATTCAAAATCAATTAATGTAATCCACCATATCAACAAGTTAAAGAAGAAAAGTCATACAATCATATCAACTGACACATGAAAATCATTTACAAAATTCAATACCCATTCATGACTTTAAAAGATTTTCTTCAAGAACAGCAGAGTTATCTGAACTTGATGAAGACCATCTACAAAAAAATCTACAGCTCATCCATCTTACTTAATGGTGAAAGACTCAGTAACTTTCACCTTAAAATTGGGAATAAGTCAAGGATTTCTACTCTCACCACTTTCTATCACCACAGTACTGTTGAGTTCTAGCAACTGCAATAAAGCAAACAAAATAAGTAAAAGCATACAGGCTGGAATGGAAGTAATAAAACTCCCCCTATTTGCAGTTGACATGATATGGCTATGTAGAAAATCCTACAGAATCTATAAAAGAAAACTCCTAAAACTAACGAGTTCAGCAGATTCAGCAAGTTCACAGGATACAAGATAAACATAAAAATTAATTGTATTTCTGTATATTAGCAATGAACACTTACACACTAAAAAATAAAAATACAGGTGTCCCTTGATACGAGCAGAGGATTGGTTCCAGGACACCCGCCCCCCAACAAAGTGGATACAAAACTCCTCAGTTGCTCGAGTCCCTTGTATAAAATGGTGTTTGTTTATAACCTATGGACATTCTCCAGTAAATATTAAATTGTGTCTAGATTACTTATAATACTTATTACATTTACAATGTAAATGGTATATAAATAACTGTTATACTGTATTGTTTAAAGAATATAACAAGAAAAAAAGTCTATATATGTTCAATACAGAAGCAACCATTTTAGGCCTAACTACCTCACACACATCAACAACACAACGGGTTCTTTTTCTGTTCATTGATTTTAGAGAGAGAAAGAAACATTGACTTGTTGCTCCACCCATCCATGCACTCATTAGCTGATTCTTGTATGGGCCCAGACTGGGGATCAAACCCAAAACTTTGGTGTATTGGGATGATGCTCTAACCAACTGAGCTACACTGCCAGGGCCATTCTCAAGTATGTTTGATTCATGGTTGGTTGAATCCGTGGATGTGAAAACTGGGTACAGAGGATCAATTGTACTATTTACAGTTAATCACACACAAAAAAAGGAAATACTTAAATGAAAATCTAACAAAACTATTTACGATTTGTATGGGGGAAACTCCACAATGCTGGTGGAGGATATCAAAGATCTAAATCAATGGAGAGAACTGCTGTGTTCCTGGATTAGAAAAGTCAACATAGTCAAATGGTAACTCTCCCCAAATGAATACAGAGGCTTAATATAATTCCTATCAAAAGTTCAGCAAGGTTTTTTTCTGTAGACATAGACAAACTTTTTCTAAAATTAATATGAAAAGTCAAAGGAACTAGAATAACAAAACAACTTTGAAAAAGAATAAAGTAGGAGGAATTAGTCTATCCAATTTTAACACTTACAGTAATTAAGATTGTGTGGCATTGTCAAAGCAATAGATAGATCGACTGGACAGAGTAGAGATCTCAGAGATAGAACCACACAAATATGCTCAACTGATTTCTGGCAAAGGTACAAAAGCAATTCCATGGAGGAAGGATAGCCTTTTCAACTAAATAATATTAGAGCAATTGGACACATAGCGGTATTTTCAGTAGAGACTTTAGCTGAGTGTGACCAGACTATTAAGAGTCTGGTGCTCAGAGTCTTAGTTTTGCCCACACAAAACTAGTTAAATAACACCTGTTTTTGTGATGCTGCATCCACCACACTGATCTCTCTCTCAAGACCTCTTCGTTTTCTATTGCTGTTGTAATAAATTATTACAAATTTAACATCTTAGAACAGCACAGATTATCTTACAGCTCTTTAGGTCAGAAATCTGACACTGGTTCCACTGAACTAAAATCAAGATATTGATAGGACTGACTTCTGGAGGCTCTAAGACAGAATTCGTTTCCTATTTCCTTGCCCTTCTCAGTTTCTAGTGGCCGCCTGAACTCCTTGTTCATGGCCCCTTCCTCTACCTTCAAAGCCAACAATGGCTAATTGATTCCATTTCATACTTCAAATTTTTCCTGCTTCTCCTGTCTTTCCAATCTTTCTCTCACTACATCCAGGACAAGTTATCAGCTTTTAAGGACTCATGTGATTAGCTTGGGCCCACCCTGATAATCCAGGATAATCTCCCAATCTCAAAGTCCCACAATATTAATCACAGCCTTAAAATCCTTATCTGCCATGTGCACATCTGTAGGGGATCATTATTCTGCCCACCACATGGGCCTTGCACTGCAGGAGATAACTTGTTCTTATGAACTGACATTATGCCCTAAAATAATGTAAATTGTCTCAAGAGAATTACCTTGTTAGTCACCGGAAGAAGAAAAGAGGAAGGCTGACCTAGAACTGGCCACTAAGCAGGCTGCTGGCATCACTCACTACCTGAGTACCTATCACCCACACCCCAGCCTCAAAAAGTATGCAAACAAATTCATGACTCAGAAAACTGACAGACTACTTCAGGATTTTAAAGTATGGTCTTAGGATCAGCAGTATCACATTCCCCAGGAGTTGATTAGAAATGCAGGCTCTGAGACTGTACCCTACACCCCATTGAACCAAAATCTACATTTTAACAAGAGTCTCCAGGTAATTCATATGCATGTTAAAATTTGAGAAGCACTGGTCGAGAGACTATGTAGTGGTTCTCATCATCCTTGGCTGCTCATTAGAATCACTTGGGAGGTTATTTGTTGTTGTTAAATTTTATTTTCAAGTAATTTCAGACTTACAGAAAAGTTACAAAACAGTACAGTAAACTACCATATGAAATCGAGAGTCCTTATGATTTTGATTTGATTTGTGACTATAGCTTTAGAAATCATTTGTTTCACTCTCTCTACATACCTCATAGACCCAGGCTTTCCCCATGATAATCATTAACCCCTGAGGCTGCAGAAGACAATAGCCCGGACCTAACAATCACAAGGTCTGGAGCCCTGGCAGGCTAAAGATAACATCTTGACCTAAATTACATTATTACAGCTCTTGAGCCCTAAGGTGGAATGACCCCTTGGCTACTTTTCTATGAAGCCACAAAGGGACACTGAAGCAGACCTTAGAGTTGTCTTCAAGACATAAAGAAGTGATTTATTACCCTTGCCTCACTTCCAACCAATCAGCTCTTAAAAGGACTGGAACCCCTAACCAACAGTGTCTTGTGATTTTGCCCTCTGTATTCTGTAACTCACATACCACTGGGAGGTTGGGTCTTTAAGAGCACGAGCTCACCTACAGTCCAGTTTGGACAATCCCATAATAATAATAAATTACTTCGTTTTTCTACTGCAAACCCCGGCTTATTGATTTCTCTTAGCCAATGCACATAGGAAGATGTACTCCTATATTGGGACTCAATAACACATACACCCTTCACTCAGCCTTCCATATGTATATAACCATAGTACAATTATGAACATTAAGATAGTTACATTGGCACAATACTATTAAGTAAGCTTCAGTATTTATTTGAATTTCACCAGTTTTTGTTTCAGGAAATAAATCCAGAATCCCAGATTTAGTTGTCATATCTAATTAGTCTCTTCCAAACTCTTCTTAGTCTTTCTTAGTCTTTCATGACCTTGACATTTTTGAAGAGTACTGGTCAATTGTTTTGTACAATATTCCTCAGTTTGTGTTTGATGTTTTTGTATGACTTGACTTGATTGTATATTTTTGGCACGTACCACAAGGAGTGCATGATGTTAACATGTCTTATTATTGATAGTAACCCTGATCACTTGATTAAGGCAGTTTCTCCACTGTAAAGCTACCATTTTCCCCTTTATAGTTAATAAATCAGTTGGGGGAGGTACCTTGACACGGCAAATATTGTTTCTCTTCAAACTTCCATCCATTACTTTTAGCATCTGTTGGTGGATATTACTTGCAACAATTATTTCCCTCCTGTTCCAATGTTGATTATCTATTTATTAATTGAAACTCTGTAAGGAAGAGCTATTTATTTCCACCATTTTTTTTTCCAGGAGAAAACTATGCATTTATTTTAAAGGAGGTAACTTTATACATTCTAACATGAATTAGCTCCAAGACACACTGTTACATGGAAAAAAGCAAAACACTAGTATGCAGCTGTTGGCTGGAGGGCAAAGGCCATAAATGTGCACATAATTGCATATGCAAAGCAAACTTCTGGAAAGGTGCAGAGAAAATGGTAATGGTGAAAACTGTTACTTCAAGAGAAAACTACTGGTTTGCAGAAGTGGGGAATCTAGATGGGAAGGACTTAATTTTCACTGTATTTACCTTTACTTAAAAAGTAAAAATTCACCCTCCCTGCTGTGGCTCAGTGGATTGAGTGCCAGCCTGCAAACTGAAAATTTGCTGGTTTGATCCCCAGTCAGGACACACACCTGGGTTTACAGACTGAGTCCTCGGTGGGGGTGCCTTCAACAGGCAACAAGTCAATGTATGTCTCACACATTGATGTTTTCCTCCCCCTCTTTCTCCCTCCCTTCCCCTCTCTCTAAAAGTAAATACAATCTTTAAAAAAAAAGGAAAAAAAGTGAAAATTCAGAAATGACTTTTTAAAACAAAAGAAGCTAACTGTAGCCGTGATAGGACTTAGGATGATAAGGCCTAGCATGCTCACCATGGGGGGAGAAGCCGTTATCTGTGTTCTGTCCTGGCTTCCCTATCAGTGAGAGAATACAACCCAAGTTCAAGGTTCTCTGTGGTCCCAGCTACTGTCACTTTACACATTCCTTTCATGGTCCTGGTGTCCCAGGAGGGGAAAAGCAGAGCCCCTGAAGTTCGCCTGCTTGGACTCACAATGGAGGATCAACATAGCCTCTCTTAGCCTCATCCACATTTATTTATTGAATTATTCATTTGTATCACTTTGAGCTCATGGAAATTCATTTTAGTCTATTTGTATTTATTTTGTCACTCAAATTGTTCCAGATTTGGCCATTGGGAACTCTTTCAGATTGGCTCCTGTGTCCTTTTGACTTACTCTCGTAAGTTTTTAAAGACTTAATAGACTTTATTTTCCAAATAATTTTATATATAATGAAAAATTGCACACAGTACACAGAGTTCCTATATACCCTTCACCCAGCTTTCCCTAATGCTAATATCTGATATAGCCACGGCATATTTGTCACAACTAAGAAACCAACATTGGTGCATTACTCCAAGCTTTATTTGAATTTTGCCAATTTTTCCACTAATATCCTTTTTCTACTCCAGGATCCAATCCAGGATACTTGTTGCATTTATGCCTCTATCCTTTTTTGAGCACTTCCTTACATACCACCAGATGGTCCAGACTTGTATTTTCTCTGCCCAGTCCTGCAATAGACTGCTTCTCCAAGGAGTCCCACCCAAGGAGCTTTGAAAAATCCCAAAGCCAGGGCAGCACCCTGAATTAATATTGATTAATATTAATATTGAGAGTCATGAAAAGCAGGGACCCACCCAGCAAAGCTATCATTTAGAATCAAAGGGCAGATAAGGAGTTTCCCAGGCAAGAAAAAACTAAAGGAGTTCATTATCAAGTCATTATTATTTGAAATGTTAAATGGACTTCTTTAAGAAGATCAAAACTATAAACAATAAAATGTCAATAAATACACATCTATCAACACTTGAATCTAAAAAACTAAGCAATCAAAAACAGAGACAGAATCATGGATAAGCAGACTGTTTTGATGGTTGCCAGATGGCAGGGGTATGTAGGGGAATGTGTGAAATGATAAGGGGATTAAGAAGTACAAATAGATAGTTACAGAATAGCCCTGGGGATGTAAAGTGCAGTATAGGAGGAATTGGAGTAGAACTTATATGCATGACCCACGGACATGAACAATGGTGTGGGGATTGCCTGAGGGGGTGGGGAATGCTGGGTGGAGGGGGAGAAAGGGGAAAAAAATAAGGACAACTGTAATAACATAATCAATAAAATATAATTTTAAAAAGCTGCATCAATGCAACCTCTACTAAAGCAATTATCTGCTGACACCACCATTTGTTTACATAACCAATATTTAATGACTAACATGGGGATGGGAGCACATTGACACCTTCAAAGAGCTTTTGTTTGCATCAACTCATTTGACCCTTCCCAAGCCCAAAGTGTCTATTTTCACCATTTCACAGGTGCAGAAATGGAAGTTATATGATATAGTCACTGGACTAGCAAAACAAAACACATATACAGGTTTTTCTGGCTCTGACATCCTTGTGGTTTCTACCACGGATTATTTTTTCTTTTTATTCTGCATAAGTTTATAGGTACCAGAAGAACACACTCAACTCCAGGTCTGTTCGATACAGAAGTTATCAGGAAAAGGCTTAAAGGATGAGACTGCCTCACCGAAGAAAATGTCAAATTAAAAAATGCTGGCCTTTCACCCTGGCCAGGTAACTCAGTTGGTTAGAGTGTTGTCCTGATATACAAGGTTGCAGATTCACTCTCCATTCAGAGCACATATAAGAATCAACCAATGAATCCATCAGTAGGTAGAATAGCAAGTAGATGTTTTTCTCTCTCATAAATCAATAAATTAAAAAATATATTTTAATTTAAAAATGCTGGCCTTTCCCCTTCTCATTTGGCCTCCTCATCTTATCCTTTTGGCTCCATGAGAAAAACTTGTCCCACCAACTAATCAATCAACCTGCTAACTAACCAATCAGGCACCATTCTTTGCCTATGCTGTGGACTCTGGGGACACCAGGAAAGCTGCCCAGATGCTGCCCTCAAGTCAATGCAGGAAACAGAGCCCACCAAAGCAGAGAAAATGAGGTCAGGGTCAAAGGAGAGAGAAGCCTGGGAAGGATCTGTGGGAGGAGGGAGTCTTGTGGAATGATAATGGGAAGATGGGCTTGGGATGGGGAAAGGAAATACAGATGGTACTTCTGGTCAGAAATTATGAGCATGTAATATGCCAACTGTGAAGACAGCAGCCACCTATGGTCCATATTTGTTTTCAAGGAGTGGTGAGAAATAGCATCAGGGCCTAAATATGTTGGATCATGAAACAAACAGCAGATTTGAACACCATGTGCTGAGCAATTGGAAGCTTTGAAGGTTTTGAACTAGGGACACCATAAATTTAATGTCTGAGCCAGTTGTAAACATTTGCAGCTCTCCTTAGCACTGATTTGTTGCCTGGTTAAAACTAATTAGAATAATTACTTCTGAGTGTTAAAAAAATAAAAATAAAATATAAAGTTCTCAAGTCTCCTACTTATACTACAAAGTGCCTAGAACCTTGGAGTATTAAAACTAGAAATTTCTCTTAAATATGATTTGACATGATGAAACATCAAAAGCTACAGAGCTGCAATTTTTGAAACAACAAAGCATGTAGGTACAAGCATCCAGGAGTAAAGCAGAGAAAATTATGTAATCTTACTGGCAGGGAAAGCACCCCAAACCAACTATTGCTTTTCAATGCTATGGAGTACCTACCTGACTGCTACCTTTCTGCAGTGACCAGGAGAGATACCCAATTTTTATGTCTTACCCCCAATACTAAAGAAAACTGTCTTTTTATTCATTTCTATTTTGTAGAATCTTTGCTCTATTTCTTGTCCCTACAGTTAGCATCTCTGATGTAAACACAGAGAGACTGAGATAACTATGCTGCAACTTTTAAAACCAGATGAGATAAACAACACCATGCAAGGAGCTCTACTAACCTTTAGACTATTTGTTTTGATGCCTTATCTTTTTAGAATGTTCTGTGGACATTAGGAGAGAGATTTCCAGACAGAACGCAGGTTTCTTCCTTTTCTTTAGGATGAGGGGATGGTTAGGAGGTGAGAAACCTTTTTTAAAACACACTTAAGATGTTTTATGCCTATATAATGTAACCCCAAACCCTGGGAAAGTATTTTTCACTTTCTTAACCCATATATTCAACTCCCAGTCTATTGGCTGTATTCTAATTCATACTTACCTATAAGCAAACATGGAATCAAGGGGTAGAAAAACCACATGATAAGACTTGTCGAGATTTCTTCTACAGTCATCATGAGGGTCTGTGTTAGGCAGACTCAGCTTGACCTGGAACATTGTTTCCTTTCACAATGAAACATCCTGTCCATCCCAGCCATCCTTGCTTCAGAATGTAGATGCGGGAGCTGAGAGGTCTGAGTTGTTACACAGCCTGAATTGTTGTGAAAACAGGAGCAGGCCCAGACAGCTCAGACAGAAGGGGCGGGCTGTGTAGCACCCTCCTTTCTGTCCAAACCCAGATATTGCATCAGGGGGAGTGGCCTAGGAGAGTTCCTGAGAAAAGGTAACTCTGGGGAGCTTGAGAATCTGTTTGGGGGAAATACCCTGGACAATAGGCTCTGTCCTGGAGGAACCCCATTGGAGTGAGCAGGCAGGATTATCTTGCCTTCTCATCAAATAGCTGTCCTCTTTCACGTCTCCATCTTGTGAGTTCATTCAAGCTGGGTACTGATTAGCTCTCCTTGCTAATACATATACATTCCAAAAACAAGTAGAAAACCTAAAAAAAAAAAACTTTAATACCTTTTAAAAAGTCAGGAGGGGGCGAACACTACGTAGTTTCATATTCACTTGCATTTGCAAAAAGAAAACCTGGAACAAGATACAGAAACTAACAAGATTGGTTACCTTGGGCAGAGGGAGTTGGAACTGGGACGATAAAGAAAAATGGGAATGAGACGCTTCTCAATATCTTTTGTTTGTTTTGGGGTTTAAAAAATGTTTTATTGTGGTAAAATACACACAACATAAAATTCACCATCTTAATCATTTTTAAGCATACAGTTCAATGGTATTAAATACATTCACATTGTTGTGCAACCATGACCACCATTCAGCCCCATAGCTCTCTTTATCTTGGAAAACTGAAACTTTGTGCCCATTAAACAGTAACTCTCCATTCTCCCTTCCCCCGCCCCTTCACCATTCTACTTTCTGTCGCAATGAACTTGCCTACTCTAAGTACCTCATGTAAATAGAATTATACAGTATTTGCCTTTCTATGACTGGCTTATTTTACTTAGCACAGTGTCCTCAAGGTTTAACCATGTTGTAGCACACTGCAGAATTTCCTTCCTTTTTAAGGCTAAATAAGATCCCTTTGATGTATATACCACATTTTGCTCATCCATTCATCCAGTGAAAAGCTGGGTTGCTTCCGTGTTTTAGCCATTGTGACTAAGGCTGCTATGAATATATATGTACAAATATCTCTTTGAGACCCTGCTTTCAATTGTTTTCGGTACTATATATTTTTATAGTTTGATTACTGAACCATGTGAATGTCTTATTGAAAAATTAAAAAGAATTTTAAAAATTGGAAGGAAACTTAATGATAGGGTTTAGCACCATAAAATGTTAGCTTTTTAAGGACACTGAATACTTTATAATGCAAATGCATTAGTGAAAAGAACATGAGTTTTAGAGTACAAGCAGATTTTTGGGTTCAGTTTAGGAATTTATTTGCAATGTTCCCTTGGGAAAATGAATCATTTATTCATTCAACATTCACTAAAGGCCTATACTATGTGTTAGATACTGGGAATCTAATAGTTCCTGTCCTCAACAAGAAGTCCCCAACTAGTGGAGAAGATGGATAGGAGAATAATCATAAATTGTTACTGAAAAAGGTGACAAATATTCAAAAGGGAATAAGGAAACATTAAGAAGAAACTCCTAACCCAGCATAGGGGGTAAGAGAAGGCTTCCTGGAGCAGGTGATTTTGGACTGAATATCAAATACTAAAAAAAGAATTAGCCAGGCCTGGTGTGTTTAGGAAACCATAAGAAGTTCAGTGCCACTGGAGAGCAAGGTGGAGTGGCAAGAAATGGGGTCCAAAGGTGGATAGAAATGGGATTCCAGAGAGCTTTGAATACCTTGTTAAGGAGCTTAGAGTTTATCCTTAAGGAGCAATGAAGCTTAGAGAGCAATGTAGGTCAAAGAAGGGGTTAAAAGCTCCAATCTGATCATGTCATTCCCTGCATTTGAGCTTTAAAGTTTATGACTAGGTTAGAGAAAACAGTAAAAGGGCCAGACTGGAGGAAGAAGGGCCAGGAGGGAGCTATGTCAGTTAGCTAGGTAAGAGATATTGTTCGTTTCCACTAGGCTTTCCCACGTCTGTAGAGAGGAGTGATTAAATCCAAAAGATGGAGGTAGAACTGACAGCTCCTAAATATGAGTAAATTGGGAGGGTGGAGGGGGAGGAGGCAAACATGACTTTCAGGTTCTAGGTTTGAGTAACTGGGTGGATGGCAGCACATCAGTGAAATAATGAAAAGGAGAATGATGGGTGGGGTCAGGACAGGCAGGGCTGGGGGCGGTATAGAAAAAGTTTGCATGTATTCAGCTTGATATACTTGAATTTGAGATACAGGCAGGGGTCCCCAGTACGTAAAGGATCTGTCTCACGTTTATGGGAACCCTTACCCCTACCTTTAGCATTTTAGTGGTAACTGAGATCAGGGAGTGAAATATTCAAGAAGAGTATGTAGATTAAGGAGGGGTGTAAATGTGATTCTGGAGAAGACTCACATTTAAGGACCAGCATAAGAAAAAAGAAATAGGGTGATATGGGGGTTAAAAATATGTCAGAGAGGTGGTCCTGGAACAAACTGTGGTCCTGGAAATGATGAAATATGGAGTGGTCACCAAGCAGGCGTGCAAAAGGGCGAGTCATTGAGCTAATCATTGAAAAATGTCCCCTGGATGATCATTTGTAATCTCAGTAAGAGAAATTTCAGTGGAGAATTTGAATCAGAAGCTAGATAGTTGTAGGATGAGGAGTGGATGTGCAAAGTAGTATACTTTGAATGTGTTTCAGTGTGAAGGGGGAAGAAAGCAATTCCAAGAGCCTCATTTTTTTCATTTATAAAATAGATACAATGATGTCTTACATAATAGTTAAGGGAATTAAGGATGCTGACAGAGCATATTAGCACAGTGCGAGGAACACAGGTCTTCCCAAATGCTGTTATATTTATTATATATATATATTAATAACACTAGCAGTAAGTACATTAGGGATAATTTTCTCTAACTGGCTGGCCCTGTGCAGGTTGCTCCTAGTTCAGCAAAGAAAGGCTTGCAGTTGGAGGTAACTACTGGAGGATAATAGTTAAAAGCATGAGCTCTGGAGCCACTGTCTAGATTGGCATCCAGGCTCTGCCACATTTACTAGTGTGTGTGTGTGTGTGTGTTTTTAAGACAAGTCATTTAAACAACCTGTTTTAGTGTCCTCATCTCATCTATAAATTGGAAACAGTTACAATAGTTAATTCAGGGCTGTTGTGAGAACTAAATGAATGGTACACTTAGAACAGGATCTGGCAAAGTAAGTGTGCAGTAAGTGTTAGCTATATATCTCTTTAATACACCATGACCGATGGACATGGACAACGGTGTGGTGATGGCCTAAGGTGGGGTGCAAGGCTGGGTGGAGGCAGGCAAAGGGAGAAAAAGTGGGGACAACTGTAATAGTGTAAACAATAAAAAAGAAAAGAATATTTGTTGTATGCTCTTCTTGATTCCAGCCCTCTGAGTCAGTGGCCACATTTGTACCATGACCTCTGGTCACCAGATGCTTGCATAGTTTCTCACTGCTCCCCTGTTGTCTGATTCTGGCTTCCCCTGACTTCAGGTCTGGACTCACCCCAACTTGCAGTGCTTCATATATCCTGGCCTCAACATCTGTCCCCATCTCACTTTTGTTCTCCCAGTCCTGGTTTCTGATTCCTCTCTCGTAAGTGCAATTCTGCCCAGTTTCCACATGTTAAAAGCTAACAATGAAAGCCAGTGTGTACTGGATATCTGCTATGTGCAGGGAATCATTCTAAAGGTTTTCCAGGATTATGTGCATTTCCACATTTTATCCAACAGAATTGCAAGGTAGGATTTGATTCCCAGCTTTTCAGGTGAGGACACAGGGCTCAGAGAAATTGATTTACTGTATATCAGGTATATTAGGGATGGAAATAAGAATTCCAGTCAAGGTCTGCCCAGTTTCAAGTTCTTTGCACTCAACTTACTGCCTCCCAATTAGCGTAACAGGGTGTTGAGCTAGAGGTCCCCAAAACAGAGATGCCCCGCCACGAACCTTGGCTTGGGGGATAGGGGAAACAGGAGACAGCCATTGAGAGGTACTCTGCGTATCTTTGGCAACTTGGCCAGCTTAATGGTTATGCTCGCTAAGGGCCAGGGAGATCAGCATGGCTTTGACTTTTGTGTAGCCATGATGTGAGGGCACGAGCTTACAGCGCCTGTGAGAAGCAGGGAGGCGGTTCCCGTTACAGTGCCTGCACAGAGGCAGGAAGGTGGTTTGCCCTGCATCACCAGGCCATACCTGCCGGGCCCAGAGTCATAATGGCAGCAGAGAGAATGTAAACTGTACAAAGAACTAGCAGATATAATCCACTGTGGGAGGAGTCAGAAATGGGGTTGTGCTGGAAGTTCTGGGTCAGAATTTATAATAGGCATGGCAGCCATGTCTCTGCCATGCGGTACGGGGAAGAGTAGTGGGCCTGCCAAGAAGGGTCCCCCACCAGCCTGCCACGAGGTATGGTGTATAAGAAGGTGCCACAGTTTGGAGTATAAGCTGGAGATCACGGAAACATGGCTGATGGTGCTGGGAAGTGCGGGACCTGCCCTGCCACGCATGGATTAATGGCAGATGCCTAAATGCTTAACTGTGATGGGGAATGCTGAGCCATGGACTTCGGTTTTTCTGAAAGACAGTATCTCTGACAGGCATATTCTGAAACTGGCATGGTTTGGCAAAGTGGGGCAGGACCATGTGTTTGTGGGTGTTTTAAAGAGAGTGAGACTTAATGGCGGAATTCCACCATTATTCTAAACCTGTATAACTTTTAAATAAATAATACCTTTTCATCAAACTCTGGCATAAGGAGTCATGCTTCTTGGCCCTGAGCAATCAGACCCCCAACTGTTTCAGAACTGCATAGGCTGGGGTTCTGTAACATTAGCACCAAAGGAGGGCTTACAATGTGTCTGAGGGCACAAAGGAGAGATCCAAGAAAT